ATATGGGATGCTGGTGTCTCAGGCAGAGGCTTCACCTGCTGCATTACAATGCCAGCCCCTGTTTTTACATTGTTTTAAAAAAGATTTATGTATTTATTTGAAAATCAGAGTTACACAGAGAGGAGAGTCAAAGAGAGGTCTTCCATCTGCTGGTTCACTCCCCAGTTGTCTGCAATGGCTGGAGCTGTGCCAATCTGAAGCCAGGAGCCAGGAGCTTCTTCTGGGTCTCCCTCGTGGGTTCAGGGACCCAAGGACTTGGGCCATCTTCTGCTGTTTTTCTGGGCCATAGCAGAAAGCTGGATTGGAAGTGAAGCATCCAGGACTCGAACCAGCACCCATGTGGGATACTGGCACTGCAGGTGGTGGCTTCACCCACTACGCCACAGCACCGGCCCCAAAGGTCTATTTCATGATCTAAGTGGCGATTACAATGGGATTAAAATTATGACAATTTGTGAAACTATCTTTTTAAGGGATTTTTGTATCCATGTATTATACTTTAAATACAATCTTTAATATTTCTTTTTATATATTTATTTATGTTATTTGAAAAGCAGAGAGAAAGAGAGAGCAAGTGCTTCTCTTCATAGGTTAACACCCCAAATGACCACAACAGCTGGGTCTGGTCCAGGGTGAAACCAGGAGTCTGGAACTCCACACAGGCTCCTACTCTGGGTGGCAGGGGCCCACGCACTTGGGCTATCATCTACTTCCTTCCAAGGCCAATTAGAAGGAAGCTGGATTGGAAGCTGCACAGCTGGGACTTGAACTGGCCCTCTTCTATGAGATATATGTGTCACAGTGGCTGTGTAACCAGCTGTGCCACAATGCCAGCCGCACTTTAATTTTCTTTGAAGGACAGGTTTTGACAAAGTAATGGAATGTACTTAGAGCATGGGTAGAAGGATACAACTTGGGGAAGACAATTGGTACCTGTTATTCTGAGGAAGAAAGAAAAGGAAAGGTGCATATATATATATATGTATATATATATATGTATATAGGCATATGATTGTTGGGTGAGTAGGGTGGGAATGGTGTGTAAAGGTAATTAATTTAAACCCTCTAACCTTTGCTTTCTCAGTGAGATGAAAAGCCAGAACATCTAATGAGAGTAGGGTGGGCTATGGTGTGTGCTATGCTGATTAGAATGCATACAGGAATTGGCCGGCGCCGCTGCTCAATAGGCTAATCCTCCGCCTGCGGCGCCGGCACACCGGGTTCTAGCCCTGGTCGGGACACCGGATTCTGTCCCGGTTGCCCTTCTTCCAGTCCAGCTCTCTGCTGTGTCCCGGGAGTGCAGTGGAGGATGGCCCATGTCTCTGGGCCCTGCACCCGCACGGGAGACCAGGAGAAGCACCTGGCTCCTGGCTTCGGGTCAACACGGTGCGCCGGCTGCAGCGCGCTGGCTGTAGCGGCCATTGTCAAAAATAAATAAAGAAAGAATGTATACAGGAATGGCCTAATTTCTAAATTCTGCTGGGTTGTGTGATACTCTCCCATGGCTTTTTTTGATTTGCAGAGTGGATAGTGAGAGAGAGAGAGACAAGAGAAAGGTCTTCCTTTGCCGTTGGTTCACTCTCCAGTGGCCGCCACGGCCAGCGTGCTGCGGCCGACGCATCGTGCTGATCCGAAGCCAGGAGCCAGGTGCTTCTCCTGGTCTCCCATGGGGTGCAGGGCCCAAGGACCTGGTCCATCCTCCACTGCACTCCCTGGCCATAGCAGAGAGCTGGCCTGGAAAAAGGGCAACTGGGACAGAATTCGGCACCCCGACTGGGACTAGAACCCTGGGTGCTGGCGCCGCAGGCGGAGGATTAGCCTAGTAAGCCACAGTGCTGGCCCCGTGGCTTTCAAAAGTCTGGGAATATAAGCAGTGCTAAAGATGGCTTTTCTCAACCGGCACTGCGGCTCACTAGGCTCATCCTCCGCCTGTGGTGCCAGCACCCAGGGTTCTAGTCCAGGATTCTGTCTCTTCTAGTCCCGGTTGGGGCTCTGGATTCTGTCCCGGTCGCTCCTCTTCCAGTCCAGCTCTCTGCTGTGGCCCGGGAAGTCAGTGGAGGATGGCCCAAGTGCTTGGGCCCTGCACCCACGTGAGAGACCAGGAGGAAGCACCTGGCTCCTGGCTTCTGATCTGTGCAGTGTGCCAGCTGTAGCCGCCATTTGGGGGTGAACCAACGGAAGGAAGACCTTTCTCTCTGTCTCTCTCTCTCACTGTCTAACTCTGCCTGTCAAAAAAAAAAAAAAAAAAAAAAAAAAAAAAAAAAAAAAAGAAGAAGAAGAGAAAAGAAAAAAAAGATGGCATTTCTCCTGAATGGAGGCTGTGGAAAGGAAAAGGTAAATTGGTGTTCTAGAAAAAAACATGGTTGATGTGATGTCCCTGAGGTCGCAGTTACTACCAGGAACAGGGAAGATTTATGTTTGTTTTGGGTTGAATTTTTCTCTATAAAATACACTGAAGCCCGATCTCTAGTTCTTGTGACTGAGACCTTATTTGAGAACAGTGTCTTTTGCTTATTATTATTTATTTGACACATAGATTTATAGAGAGTGAGAGAGAGAGACAGAGAGAAAGGTCTTCCTTCCGTTGGTTCACTCCCCTAAATGGCCGCTATGGCCGGCAGCGCTACGCCAATCCGAAGCCAGGAGCCAGGTGCTTCTTCCTGGTCTCCCATGCGGGTGCAAGGGCCTGAACACTTGGGCCATCCTCCACTGCTCTCCTGGGCCACAGCAGAGAGCTGGACTGGAAGAGGAGCAACCGGGACTAGAACCAGCACCCCCATGGGATGCCGGCTTCACAGGCAGAGGATTAACCAAGTGAGCCACAGCGCCGACCCCGTGAGAACAGTGACTTTACAGAGGACCAAGTTAAGATGAAGTCATTAGGGTAGGCCCTAGTCCAATATGATTCTATTCTTCTGAGAAGGGAAGAATTCAACTCGGGCGCAGATGTGTACAGAGGGAAAATGATGAGTCTCCCAGGGGAATAACATCCTCTCCAAGCCAAGGAATGCCTGGGGCTCCCAGAAGCTCTGTGAGGAGCCTGGGATAGACCCCTTTCTGCCGCCTCTGAGAAGGAACCAATCCTACTGACATCTTGATTTCAGACTTCTGGTCTCCAAAGCTATGAGACGATACATTTCTGCTGTTTGAGCCACCTACTTTGTTGCTACCTTACTGTAGTCCTAGAAAAGTGATAGCATTCTAGAAAAAGAAAATCAGACTTCATTTATGTGGTGTCATGCATATTGACATACATGGTCCATGTTACTGTGGAGCTTATAGTCAAATGCAGGGAGAAAATGTTGAAGAAAGAAAACCATGAATGTACATCATGGCATTGTAATGTTTTATATACTAATGATGAAAAAAGGGTCTATGATGGGGGTTTACAAAGGGGAACCCAATTTTTATGGAGGTTCAGGAATATCTGTAGCAGAGATGGAGGCTTTCACTCTAAATAAGTCTGTGTTAGGTAAAGATGAGGGAGGGGAGTGATGCAGGTGTCCAGACCACGTGACAGCATGCATGGAAGTGCTGACGTAGGCACGTTTGGGAACAGGAAAGGCAGTGGGGTGCAATACAGTGAGAGAGAGAGAAAGAGGAGGTGAGTGGGGAGAAGAAACCAAGGACCAGACCTGGATCCATACTAAGCAGTTTCTACTTTAACCCAAAAGGAAGCCACTGAAGGCTATCACACAGGGCAAATTTATGAACCAATTTCAATTTCCTAAAGGTCGTTTTGATTACTGAGTGGAGATGAAAGATAACTGTCTGGAAATTGATATGGGAGGCTGTTTAGCCAGGTTGTGACTTGGATCAAGTGACAGTGGTGGAGATGGAGGGAACTGGGTGGCGTGAAGTATATGGTGAAGGCAAAATGGGTAAAATTTGATAACCAATTCAATGTAAATGGGGAAAGAGCAAGGAAGGGACAGGATCATGTCAGTTATTGTTCTGGCCATGGAATGGGGGCTGTTAGGAGATTGAGACACGCTACTTGATTGGCCAATGGTGTGGAGAGCCTGGGCAGATGCACAGCTTCCAATCACCAAAGGCTTCCAAGAAGCAGCGTCCTCAGGGGAGGACGCACCGTTGTACTGAGACACAGAAGTGAAAGGTTGTGCTGGGGAGAAGAAGGGTGTAAAAGGTAAATTTTCAGTGGAACTTGGTTCTGAAGGGCACAGCAGGAAGGGGTGAGACAGAGCCTAAGGAGACTGGTGGAAAAGAGAACGCCAGAACTGTGTGAGCTGGGGAGTGCATGCCTGGCTGCCCCTAATGCCCTAGGTTGCAGAGTGGTCCTCAGAAGCCTCCTTTGTGCATTCATGCTCACTGGTTGTTCCCCCTGGGGCTCCTCCAGACTTGCGTCTTCTACTCTTTCTCTACTTAGTGATTTTCTGCTCTGTTAGTTCTTTTATGAGTCTTTTGTAGATATGTAATTTCAACCACAGCACAAACTTCCCAAAGCTGGAAAATAAGAGTTCACCAAAGGGTGATCATCTATGTCTATGTCTATGTCTATGTCTATGTCTATGTCTATGTCTATGTCTGTCTGTCTGTCTATCTATCTATCCATCCATCCATACTATGGTGAATAACACATGGGACAGACTGATGGAAGAACTGGCTCTTTCACTATCTAGTTGGAGGAGCAACATTTCTACCATTTCTACAACATTTCTACCATCTTTATTAAAAACATTTGGTCAACTACATAAAGTATGATTTTCTGTGCACAAAAGGCAGCTGTTCAGTGAGTGTACAATAAAGATAAAAGACGTGTACAAAGCACCATTCCCAGGCCAAGAATAGGGCTGTTCACGTGGTGTGAACTCAGTTGCTTAGAACACAAGTGGCACCCAGGAAGTGTGGCTTTGATGGTGAGATGTCAGGTTCAACATGAGAATGCTCGCTTATTGGGCTGCTCAGTGGAGCAAGCAGGTGTTCTTGTTCCTAAAGGTTCACTAGCCACATGTCTCCCCATCTCTCGAAAGCTACATATACAGTGGCTCCCCTTGGCATCTCACTTGCCTCTTTGCTGATTGGTTTGGCCATGAGGAGCTCAATCTTGATCCTTGTGGTCCTTGTCTTGCTCTCCTACGTTCCACCAGGTAAAACGGAATCCCCTCCCCGTGGAATTAGGAATGGTGAAAGTTGAAGGAGTATTAGGTACTACAAGAGTTAGAAAACAACAACAACAACAACAAGGACTCAGCCAAAGAAAACGGCAAGAGGCAGAGATGCGAACAGAGATGGTTGCACAGAGCTTGTCCGGGCACTGGAGGGGAGATGCCAATGCTGTGTAACATGTTGGAGGTGTTTCTCTCTGGAGAAGAATCACCCTCTGGATTTTGGTCTGGGGAGTCTATGAAGTTAGAGGGGAAGGTTGGACTGCTGGCATTGGCAGAAATGGGGCAGAGCAAAAAAGATGAGGTCTTTAGAAGACAGGTGGGGATGGAAGGGAGGTTCTTCCTGGAGAACTTCCTCCCAAATTCACTATCCATCTTGTCTTTCAGTCATTTAGAAGTCAAGCAGTGTTTATGCCTAGTAGGCTCATAAACAGTGCTCGTTGTTAAAACCTATCCGATTAGCTTACAGCATGATAAGACCTGACAGAATATCAGTTTGAGGGACCAGAATTTATACTCTCAGGACAGAAGTCACCAAGTCAGTAATATCGCGAACATACCATTTGAGTCATTAACGTTCTCAAAATTGCTTGTTTTTTTTTTTTTTTTTCTGGGATCTGCAGAGAGCGCCTACCCCTTGCCTCAAACCTTCACATTCAAAAGACCACTGAAGGTTCAATTGTGAACTATCTCACAAAGACATAGAGGAGGAAACTCTGCTGCTGTCTTAGAGAAGATGACCTCCATGAATTTCCGCTGTCTCTCCGCTCGACCTCTCTGTCCCCAGAGAGGTGCCCCAGGGCCAGCAAGCACAGAGCGGGCAAGTCTGCTGGCCAAGGCCAGTGGGCTCGCTGCATTTATTGTTTTACGCCACAAAGGCCCAGTTCACGATCCCATGTGGCTGACTGATAAGAGACAGTGTTAAGGCTTAGTACACAAAAATGGGGTGACTCAGGGTCACCTTCACCCTCTTAAACTACCGCCTACCACTGCTCCCCCACCCCTTGGCTTCCAGAGGTAGCTGGGTCTTAAACTTAACAGCTTGGTAAGTTACCATGCAAAACCACTCTCTACTCATTGCATGGGATTCTCTTGAGTACCTTGTGGTTAAGCCAGGGCAGGTAGGACAGCACTTGGCCCAAGTCATGAAGAATGCTATTGGGGAACTCAAGGCTAAGACTATGGACTTTTGAAATTCTAGTTCAGTGCTCTTTCTTTCTACATGCAGGTACTGATAATCACACAATGCCCTGAGTCTCAAACCCTGCATGTTTCCCAACTGGGGGCCTGTGTAGACACCTGAGACTTTTTTTTTGACATCTGAATGAGCTTTGCGTAGCATATAGTCCCCAGGTGAATCTGAGGGACCCTGGTACTTGGAGTTGGTTGTTTAGTGATTCATGTAATTGTGGACCATGGAAGCTCATGGTCTCTAACAAGGTCCCTGGAAAACAAGGTAAGAGCAACTGAAAAGGGTGCGTCCAGCCATAAGTGTTTGGGGTATCTTTGATGATGTCTAATTTACCTTTAAAGAGTTTTAAGGTATAGCCCTGAGTTAAAGTATCCATAATAGCATGACCCTAGCCAGACACTGATTGCCTGAACTTTTGTTTCTATTGGCAGTGAAAAGTGGACCGAATATTTACATCAACAGGATCTTCTCTTCATGCTGGCGATTGAAAGGGACTTGCAAGTTGAAATGTACAGGAAGTGAATTATATCATATTATTTGTAATACTCAGTATCTGTGCTGCATCTCCAAATCCAATTTACCTATCCTTGTTGGGAGGTAGCTGTGAGACCGTGAAGGCTCCTGCTCGTTTTTCCTGGGCTTCCAGATCCTTCTCAGTTGCACCATCCCACTAAAACCATGGCTTCAACCCAGCAGTGCTTTTGTGTCTGCTGTGCTTCTCTTGATTGTCCCTCCTGTAGAAACACTTTCTGAATTAAATTCCTTGTCTTTGGTATTTTTCTTTTTATTAATTTATTACTTACCAAGTCTCAGGAGAACTTCTTTTTGAAGCATACCATACAATTAGAAAAGTGTACAAGTTAGAAATAGATTGTGATGAATTTCACCAATTTCATTCATAGACTGGTGTAACCAGCATGCCGATCAAGAAACCAATATGTGTGGCAGTCATTGGTGCGGTGATGAAGATACCACTTGGGATGACCGTATCCCATATTGGATTGCTTCCGTTCCAGTCCTCCCTGTGCTTCCAATTCCAGTTCCCTGCTAATTAACATGCAGTCTGGTAGGCAGCATGTGACGGCTCAAGTACTTGGGTCCCTGTCATTCATGTGGGAGACCTGGATGGAGTTCTGGGCTCCTGACTTCACTTTGGCTCAGCCCTGGCTGTTGCAGGTATGTGGGGCATGAACTAGTTGATAGAAGACTTCTCTGTCTGTCTCTCCACCTTTCAAATAAAATGGAAATAAATGAAAAAAGAAAGAAAGGAAAGACTATCCCAAGTGCTGGCAGTTACTGCCTCACAAAAGATAATTCCTAGCCTGACTTCTATGGCTTGGCACCTGCTTTTGAATTTTGTATAAGTACAATCATACAGTAAGTACTTCCTTGTGTCTGACTTCTATCTCCATTATTTTTGAGAAATGTAGTCATATTTCACATAATTGTAGCTGGTCATTCTCAGTGGTATATTTCTGGGGTCAGCTCTGGGCAGAAGGCACAGACAGTGCCCATGTGCCTATTCAGGCTTCTGGGGCTCTGCTAATAACACCCTGTGGACTCCCAGATGCGAGCTACTGAGAAACTTGACCCTCAGGCAGAAGCTGGAAGAGTGTGCAAATTCCTTCCAGGGAGAAGCTGGGAACTGGGTATTTTTGCCTGTTCTCTCTGTGCTAAGCCCAAGAGGAAGAGCCTTGGAAAGTGCTCATCTACTTGTGTACAACTGCCTCTTCATCCTCTGTGGTGCCAGGAGACTGGTGAATGCTAAGGCCTCCCATATACAGATTTAGGTGATTTAAGTGCCTGACCCTCATGTGTTGATGTCCCTGGCATTCCAATATCAGATGTAGGTGCCCTAGTCAATGGGTATGCCACAATGCCTACCCTCACTCGGAGAATTTTGACAATGCATACACCTGGGTAACCTAAACTTTATCAAGATACAAAACATTTTCATTACTCCAGAAATTTCCCTCATACCATCTTCCAGTTGATACATATGACTAACTTTCTATTTTCTGAGAAGCAATAGTTATTATGCTTATATTAACCATAGGTTAGATTTGCCAGTTCTAGAGCATCATACACTAACATTATTAGAGGATGTTCTTTAACATGTGAGACTCCCCTCCTCTGCATTTAGAGAATATTTTTAGGTTTTTCCATGACATAACTTGTACCTGTAGTAAAACTATTCATTAAAGAACCATTGCAGCCATTAACCTCATCTATGCTTTACTACTATTGTACTTCCAAAGCCCTCGTTTTTGCATTAACCATATAATTGCATTACCTATGTCACACCCTTGAGTCAACATAAACATAGGGATTCTACTGATTCGAGCTACATCCAGGCAGATGCACACTCCGTTCTCTGACCAGGATGAGCATCACATTCAAAATATGCATTAATTGGAGCCCTACAAGCAGTAACACAGTCTCAAACTAAGTAACCCGAACCATTATTCTTCTGAAAGGTCTAATAAATGGGTCATTCATACCATCAACCCTAATCACTACTTAAGAATATATATGATTGAAGCCAGTGTTATGGTGCAGCAGGGTAAGTTGCTGCCTTTGATGTTGGCATCCCATACTGGAGTGCCAGTTCAAGCCCCAACAGCTCTGCTTCTGATTCAGCTTCCCACAATGCACCTGGGAAAGCAGAGGAAGATGGCCAAAATACTTGGGTCCCTACCACCCATGTGGGAGACCCAGATAGAGTTCCTGGCCCAATCTTGCCTGTTGTGGCCATCTGGGGGAAGTGAACCAATAGAAAGAAGATCTCTTTGTGCTTCTCTGTCTCTCTCTGTGTCACTCATCTTTTCAAATAAATAAATACATCTTAAAAATGGAACATATAATCATGGCCTTTAGATATAAAATGTTTTATCTCAACATTAACAGAAAGAAAGTGAGCTCCATCTGACCTAACAGATGAGTCAGAACTAGTATCAGTCTTTAATGTTGAATATGCCACATACACATTTGCTTTATTCTTTTTAGCAGAAAACACTAGCAATTATTCTAATAGATGTCCTTCATGAGTCCAATACCCAGGCACTTATACCATTAATTTTTTAATAATTAAAAAACAATTATTTTCATTTATTTGAAAGGCAGAGAGAGAGACAGACAAACAAAGACAGAGAGAGGTATCTCCCATCTGTTGCTTCACTCCCCATATGCCTACAACAGACAGGGCTGGGTCAGATTGAACCTGGGAGCCAAGAACTCAATAATCCAGATCTTCCTGTGGACAGCAGGGACCAAAGTACATGGGTTATTACCTGCTTCCTAGGCTACATATTATCAGGAATCTGGAATCAGAAGCAGATCTGGGACTCAAACCCAGGCACTCCAATATGTGATGCACGTGTCCCAAGCAGGTGTCTTAAGTGCTGTGTCGAATACCACCTTATACAATTAATTTTACTGTCAAAAGCTTCCTTTCAACCATTGTTTGTTTTAATAAATTTGAGCATCCTATCCACAATTTTGATATGACCAACTCCTATACCTCCTATGAAATTTTTTTTTACTATTGACAATCACTAGCCCTATGCATATGACATATTTTACTCCTAATCCTATTATCAAGCATTCTACCACAACATAAGAAAGAGTAATTTTTATAAATAGTAGAGGCTTAAATCCTCTCATTTCTAGAATTTTCAGAATTGAGCCTACCCTTAAGAACTCAAAATTCTTGATGCAACTCAATACAACACAGTCCACAGTAAGGTCAACTAGATAAACTACTGTTACCCACCCAAAATTGTGGGCCTGCTTCCTGGCAAATTCTAAAAAACACACCAGAAGGAGTTGTCATGCAAAGTAAACCACAGGGAATAATTTCCAAAGTTTTGACTCCACAAGGAGGGGAAATGGGTGGGTTTTTTTGGGGGGTGGAATGAATATGTAAGAGGGAAAACTCTTTATCACATATAGGGATGGAGACAAGTTCACGCTGGTGCAGTTCAGAAATATGCTTCAGGTTATAAGTTTAAGCTACTTCTAGAGCCAAGACTTCAGTATTGAAATGAAGCAAAAAGTGATCTTTGGACACCATTTAACCCATCTGCACAGGTGTTGCTCTTGCAGTAGAGTCTGGACTAGCCCATTGTGGCTAAGGCTGGCATCTCTCCCTGGAATGTGACTGAAAACCTGAGAGCTTTGAAGAACATCCAGTGTTTTTAGGGTCTTGAAAGAAAATGAGTCACAAGGGGGGCTGACACTATGTAGTAGGTTAAGCTTCAGACTGCAGGGCCGGCATCCAATATGGGTGCCAGGTTGAGTTCCAGCCACTCCTCTTCCAGTCCAGCTCTCTGCTATGGCCTGGGAAAATAGCAGAAGGCTCAAGTCCTTGGGCCCCTGCACCCATGTGGGAGACCCAGAAGAAGCTCCTGGCTTCAGATTGGCCCAGCTCCAGCTATTGCGGTCATTTGGGGAGTGAACAATTGGATGGAAGACCCTTCTCTCTGCCTCTGCTTCTCCCTCTCTGTAACTCTTCCTTCCAAATAAAAAATATATCTTTATAAAGAAAAGAAGAAATGAGTCGCAGGAAAGACTTTTGAGCTGCTTCAAGCATTAGCTAGTAATACTCCCAGGCTCATCCCTGCAGCATGTTGGTTTAAATCTTTCCCATATTAATTAATCCTGCAATTTTTATTCATTATTCTATTCATTCTTATCACAGGATCCATAATTATAATTTTTAGCATGCACTGATTAATAACCTGAATAGGCCTAGAAATAAATATACTAGTCATTACTCTCACTTTAATCAATAAAGCAAACCCACTGATCCACATAAGCAGCTGTCAAATATTTCTTAAACAAAGCAACTGCATTTATACACATAAAATAATATGTGTATAAATTAAAAAATTAATAATCATTATTATTATACTATAGTCAGGTTAATGAACAGTTATAACAATTCCTGATCAGGGAACAGCATTGTGCACACTAGGTTAAGCTGTCTTCTGTGATGCTGACCTCCAGTATTGGAGTGTTGGTTCGAGTCCCAGCCGCTCCACTTCTAATTCAGCTCCCTGCTAATGTGCCTAGGAAAGCAATAGAAGATGCCCCGAGTACTTGGGCCCCTGCACCTTCCTGGGAGTTCCAAATGAAGCTCCTGGCTCCTGGCTTTGGCTTGGCCCAGCCCAGTTGTTGTGGCCATTTTGGGAGTGAATCAGCAGATGGAGGATTTCTCTCTCTCTGTCTCTCCCTCTCTTTGTCACTCTGCCTTTAAAAAAATAAAAATAAATCTAAAGAAACTCTGTTCAGACAGCATCTCTTTTTTTTTCTTTCTTTTTTTTTTTTTAAAAAAACAAGGTAGGTGCAGGGGCATAGGCACGTGGGCCACCGCCTCAGTTGCTTTCTCAGGCACATTAATAGGAAGCTGGATCAGAAGTGGAGCAGCCAGGACTCAAACTGGCACCTATATGGGATGCTGGCATTACAGGCAGTAGCTTTAACTGTTACGCCACAATGCCAACCCTTCAAGTTAATTCTTGAGCAAGCTTGACTCTGAGTTGTTCTCCCGATGCCTGTCTGGTGATGTGATCTCTCACTCCCACGTGTGCCCCCCGCCACGATGCCATCACCATCAGGTCCTCACCAGACGTGAAAGCAAGGGGGCTGCCTGATCTTGGGCTGTCAGCCTCCAAAACTGTGACCTAAATAAACCTATTTTAAAAAGATTTTTTTATTTGAAAGGCAAAGTGCTAGAGAGGGAAAGAGGAAGTGGGGGAGAGAGAGAGATCTTCCATTCTCTGGTTCACTCCCCAAATGGCCACAACAGCTGGGACTACTAGACCAGGTCGAGGCCAGGAGGCTGGAACTCTAATTTTCCTTGTGGGTAGAAGGAGCCCATGTTCTTGGGCTATCATTTGCTGTTCGCCAGGTGCTTTAGCAGGAAGCTGGATTGGAAGCAGAGCAGCCAGGATGCAAACTGGAACTGCCTTATGGGATGCTGATATTGCAAGCCTCCTAACCTCTTACGTTAATAAAAATTACTCAGGCTCAGATATTTTTATTCATATTTATTCATTTATTTGAAAGGTATTGTGACCAGAGGGAGAGATCCAGAAAGAGATCTTCTATCTGCTGGTTCATTTCCCAAATGACTGCAGCAGTCAGGGCTGGGCCAGGACAAACCCAGAGTCAGGAACTCCATCCAGGTCTCCCATGTGGGTGGCAGGGGCCAAAGCACTTGGGCCTTCTTCTGCGGCTTTCCCTGGGTGCATTAGCAGAGAGCTGGATTGAAAGTGGAGCACCAGGGGCTCGAATCAGCGCTCTGATATGGGATGCCAGGGTTGCAAGCAACAGCTTAACCCTCTGCACTACAATGCTGGCTCTGGGTATTTTGTTATTGTAAAGCAAAATGGAGTGAAACAGGCTGTCTGGGATGTTGTGAGGCCAGTTTCATATAAGGTCCATGAGTCTTCAGGTAAGGAGTCCCCTGCCTTCTTCAGAGACTGACAGTTTTCCTGGAGTCTTTCTGGAAGAATTTTCTCCACATTCTCAGAAACCATGGTAACTCTTCTAGGCCATCTGTTAGCCCATTCCACTTTAACCTACCTCCCCTCCAGAAACTATAGGTGTTTGTGCTTCTGAGAGGAGGGCACACTCTAATGAATTTTTACTATGTTCCCTCCCAAATCACCTATGCTTGATTTGCTCGAAGATTGAGCATCGTCTGGGGGTACAGAACTACTCACATCCCTCATTCTTTCTCATACACTGCTCTCCTTCCATCTCTTCCCACTTGCAGTATGTGACCAGGAAGCACTGTCCTTTCAGATGAAGAATTTAATTTAGCCAGTGATTCTTTAGCCTTGTACCAGATCAATAATTGCCTATTTGCAGTGAGAGCCTCACACTCTCAGAATCACTGGAGGCCAAGCCATAGCCAGTACTGATGCTAAAGAAAACTGCTCCACACAGTGTGGTGTTAGATACTAGGCCTACGGCACCCAACCAGAGAGGCGGGAAGATGGGCCTTACACTGACTCATACCCAGGCAGTCTTACAGCCTGTAGCTGGATACTGTGGGGCAGAAATGGAAAGTTCCAGGCTTAATTGAAACTAGGGAGGTGGATGAGAAGGTACCTTGTAAGAACCCCTCACAAGACGGCCTTTCTCCTGTTTCAAGAACTTCAGTGACAGGCTCAGTTAAAACTGAGTCAGGTCTATTCCTCTACAGAGTGTAAGGTATATCTAGTGTAGATACCTAGATATAAAACACTGAGGGATTTCCACAGAACTAAGGCATCCTTTCTGTGATTACAGAAGGGAAATAGGCACTGAGGAGAGCAATGGATATTACTTTGAGTGAGAAAATATACTAGATGTGGTCTTCGTGAGACGCCTCAGTCTGTTTGAGAAGGCTGCAGCTTTCCTCTTCAAATCCAGATCATGAGATTCTAGCGGTTCATGAAAACATACCAACCACTTGGCTGGGGCACATCACAGTGCTATAGCTTAACCAGATTATCCAGCTTTTTGAAGGATGGGAGGGTCAAGGGGCTGCAAGTCGACAGGCATTGACCAGTTTCTCATGTCAGGGCTCAGGGTTTCCTCTGACACAGCATTCCAGCTGAAACATACAGTAGGCAACTAGCATTTCACTCCCATAGCACTCAAGTCGGCAGAGACCATTCTCAGAGCATTTCTTGTGCAGTTCTGATGATACTGGGTTCAAACCTAAGAGGAAAAAGAGTGGAAAGACAATTCACTCCAGGTCTTCTGTGGACTACAGCATGACTATTACCTCAATTTTTATGCAACCGATTTCCAAATAGGCTTGGTCAAGTTAAATGCCTCTGTGACTTGAAAAAAAATTTAAGTGACAGATTGAATTGCATTCTCCAAAATTCATATTTTGAAACCCTAAACCCCAAAGTGACAATATTTGGAGATAGGCTTTCTCTGGAGGTAATTTAATTTAAATGAAATAATAATGGTAATCTTCTAAACCAGTAAGATTGGTAGCCTAATCCTGTAGGATTGATGGCCTTATAAGAGGAGGAAATAGCAAGAAGATGGCTGTCTACAAACCAGGACAAAGGCCCTCACCAGAAACTTAGTCAATTGATCTTGATCTTGGACCCTCTGGTTTCTAGAACAGGGAGAAAATAAATTTTATGTAGGCTGCTCAGTTTGCAATTTTTTGCTATGGCAGCCCGAGCTCAGTAAGACAATTAGGAACTTGGAAGTTTTCCTGAATTGTTCAGTCAATATGATCCAAAGAACAAGTTAGCTATGCATGTATTGTCATTCCTTCCATATTTAATTATTTACATATTTAGTTATTTACTCACTAGGATTTATTAATTTCAAGCAGGTTTTTATGAATCCAGTGAATCAGGCACTGTTGAGGTAAATTTGATCTTAACGTCACTGAATTTTCAGTCCAGACAAAAAGACAAGAAACACAAAACATCTGAGAGGAGAAAACATGAAAAGTGCTGTGCAGGGTTTGCAACATGGAATGGTCTTGTGAGTTTGAAGACGGTTGAAATAAATTCTGAATTTTGTACACATACTCTCCCTTAGAATAAACAAATATAAATGTTCATATGAAAGAAGGCATTCAGAGGAAAAGAGTGTGATTATTTGGCCATCCATAGTAAATTAGCCAACACATACCTAATCTAAGTCAACATGCCGTTGAAGATAATTGTCCTACAGGAGAAAGGAGGGGTTAGTTTTAATTAGTTGGCAAGATGGAAACCCAAGAGGAGAATCTGTAACACTGTTGGGAAGACAAACTATCATGTCTAGATAGTGACAGAAGACATTCCCAGGGATGTGACAATGGAATGGAATATTGTAGACCAATGGGGCTGCTGATCATTAGGAGGTCATGAATCAGTTGTCATCAACCATGGTAGAATTGATGCCACCAAGAACTTCAAGAGACCTGGATCCTATCAGTTCTTAATTCAACTTGTTGCCATATGATCTTGAAATCTGGTTCATCTGCCTAGAGAATACTTCAGGGAGTCTGAAAAATCAGATGGGCCTTTACAATGAAAGGGTTTGGAGTGATTCAGTAACTCAAGATGAGATTTCTACACTCAGAAAAGGATATGGTGAAGCCAGAGTGCAGGATCAGTCACGCTTCCCTCATGCTCTCCCTAGAGGCCACCTCATCTGATTGGGCATTTCTTCTACCACAGAAAGTGCAGTAGATCTCATGGAGCAAGCAGTTTCCAGTCTGCTTCCTCAGGTACCTAAAAGAGCCACAGATACTAAATTAGCTATAAGCAGTTTCAATATCTTAGAAAGCTTAATAAATTGTGTTAGCCCTGTATGCTGACTGTTATACCCAGATAGGTTCTTGAGTTTGAAAAACAACAGTAGCAAAATAGGGTGGGGCATGTTTAATGAAAGTATGTGATGATGCATGGTAGCAGGAGTTGGATTTTTTTTTTATTTTTTAAAATTTTTTGACAGGCAGAGTGGACAGTGAGAGAGAGAGACAAAGAGAAAGGTCTTCCTTTGCCATTGGTTCACCCTCCAATGGCTGCCGCGGTTGGCGCACCGCGCTGATCCAATGGCAGGAGCCAGGTGCTTCTCCTGGTCTCCCATGGGGTGCAGGGCCCAAGTACTTGGGCCATCCTCCACTGCACTCCCTGGCCACAGCAGAGAGCTGGCCTGGAAGAGGGGCAACCAGGACAGAATCCAGCGCCCCGACTGGGACTAGAACCCAGTGTGCCAGTGCTGCAAGGCGGAGGATTAGCCTAGCGAGCTGCGGCGCCGGCCATGAGTTGGATACTTTTCCCACTGTGCATAGGAATAATCTACACATTTTCCCATTTAATCCTTGTGAGACTTTGAGGTTAAAAGTGTTATTATTTCCATTTTGTAAATGAAGAAGCTAAGGCTCAGAGAAGCTCAGACTTTTATCCAAAGCTATGGTGCTAATAAGTCAGAGAGCCAAGAGTTAAGGTCATGTTTTGCTGACATCAAAGCTGGTTGACAGTTTTTTCTACTTGGGAAATTAAAGGGCCCACAGTGGGAGTGCATGTATAAGGTTGCTTCATAGAACTGCACTGCTAGTCAAAGTGTTATGGGTGAAACAGCGACGTCGGTTCTTGTCTTACATGACAGAGGATTTCCACGTGGACAAGGCAGTGAGCAAAACAAGATTTATTTGAGTCAGAAACCTCCTCTTGACGCAGCCAGGAGGAGGCTCCAAGAGAGGCAGACCTGAGAAACTGTGACGGTCGAGTCTTTTAAGCACAATTTTTTGGGGAAAAATAACCAGAGCATCAGCTAACAATCAGAGGGAGGGGACAACATCCATTGAAAGGCTGGCTTTGTAATCCTGTCTATCCTGTCCAGCTTGCTCGTGAGAAAGCAAAGAAGCAATCAGAGAGTGTGATTGGTAACTTCTTTCTAGGCTCATGATAAACCAAAACTTGGGCAGAGTCACTGCTGCCCTGCTACTCTTGTGATAAAACTGCAAACTCAAGAGTGGGATTCGGCACTTTCATCGTGCTGAAGGTAACTTTTGGGGTAAAGCGAGCATTTTGCACCCTCTTAAAGAGATTTCCTCTTTCCTCATTCTGACCAGGACCTCCTCACTGAAGCCCCACCTCCCCTACCAGGAAGATTCCCATTTTACCTGCCAGTGCTGCATTCCAGAAGAACAGAAGGACAGACAGGATGAGGAGAGGCTTCATGGCTGCAAACTTCCACCGAAGGGGCTGGAGGCGGAGTCTGACCCTGGGTGCCAGAGGACAGAGGGAAAGGGGAGGTCGAGCACGCACTCCTGCACAACCTCTCGGCTGAGGACATGCCCTACTCCAGGCAGACAGGCTGCGCTGAACACCCCCGAGGCAGCTCATCTGCCAACAGAACTGGCAGCCTTTTCCTGTTGGACAGCTTTTCCCATTGACAGAGGCACCGTCCCCTAGCTGGGTTTAACAGAAGCACTAACGGAGGCCTGAGGGCAACAGGCCTCCTCTGTCTCAAGTGTAACAATACATATTTTTTTGCTCACTTTTTACTCCTCTCTTACAAAAAATACAAATGCTACTTTTAGAAGATTCATGAGATACTGAAAGTGACAGAGAAAGAGTAATTATACTTGAGCCCTGTCTCTCAGAGACCACTTGTGTGTGTTTCTTAATAAAGTTTTGTCTATGCCCAGTTTGTTTTTTGATGGTTTGTTTTACATGGTCATAAACTCACTATTCTTGTAATTTGGTACTCTGACTATATATTTGTGTGTGTGTGTATGTGTGTGTGTGTGAATATCTTTGTAACTCTTTGTAAATAGTATTTTGAATGATGCACAATATTCCATCAAAGTAATTTTAAATAATTGTCACTATTTAAAAATCCTTATTAAGGCATACATGACATGCAATAAACTGCAAATATTGAAGTCAACTGGAGAGCACGAGATTTCACTCAAAGGGACAAGCTGATGGTACCATGGAATCATCACTTTCTACTCCCCAATCTAAGAAAATTTAAGGAAATTCAAATTTAAGGAGATAATGAATGATGTAGGGAGCAGGCATTTAGCCTAGCAGTTAAGATATCTATGTCCTGTATCAAAGTAATTGGGTTCCATTCTTGTCTCTGGCTCCTGACTCCAAACCCTGGGAGGCAGTGATGATGGTTCAGGTAACTGGGTTCCTTACCACCACATGGTAGCCTGGGTTGTGTTCCCAGAACCTGTTTCAGCCCTGGCTCTTCCCCAGCCGTCGCAGTCCTCAGGGGAGTGAGTCAGCAACCAGGGGAGTGAGTCAGCAATCAGGGGAGTGAGTCAGCAATCAGGGGAGTGAGTCAGCAGATGGGAGATCTCTCTCAGTCTGTCAAATAAATTCAAAAAATACAACGAATTATTGGTGGCTCAGGTAGATACCCAGATGTTTTATCCCTTCTTTGGGATACTTCTGCGGTAGATTCTGCATTGTCTCATGGGGTTTCCCACAGAGATTGAGCCCCAGTTGCCTGCAGTGGCCATTGACTTGACAACACAACTTGTTAGCTTTGCTTCATTCCCTTCCGTATTGCATTTTCCAATTCTCTTACTGGTACTCTCTAGGATCACACTGCAAATAAATTATTTTCTTTTGCCTTTTTTTTTTTTTTTGACAGGCAGAGTGGACAGTGAGAGATACAGAGAGAGAAAGGTCTTCCTTTGCCATTGGTTCACTCTCCAATGGCCGTCGCAGCCGGCGCACCACGCTGATCCAATGGCAGGAGCCAGGTGCTTCTCCTGGTCTCCCATGGGGTGCAGGGCCCAAGCACTTGGGCCATCTGCCACTGCACTCCCTGGCCATAGCAGAGAGCTGGACAGGAAGAGGAGCAACCGGGACAGAATCCGGCGCCCCAACCAGGACTAGAACCCGGTGTGCCAGCACCACAGGGCGGAGGATTAGCCTAGTGAGCCGCGGCGCCGGGCTTCTTTTGCCTCTTTGTCTAAAAGTTTGCTTCTGAGGCAACCCTAAGACTTGTGCCAAATTTCATTGATTGGGCTTAGAATATTACAGCTAATCTTCCAATTCTGCAATAAGCAAATTTAGATGTGTTTTTATATTGCTGGATTAATTTATTATTTTGTTAGAATTTTTGCATGTGTATTTATGAGTGAAATGGGCCTGAAATTTCCTTTCTCACATTGTCCTTTGAGTTTTTGTGTCAAACCTGTTAGCCTTATGGAATGAGAAGGCACATCTTTCCTCTTGTTTCTCTAGTGACACCCCATCACTTCTGCTATATTATGTCCATGTGAAGTAATTCACTAAGGTGCCCTATATTCCAGGGGAGATGACCACATAAATGCATAAATACTACGAAGCAGGGATCTCTGGGGTCCCTCTGAGAGACTGTCCACCATGCTTCTAGATTTTGTTCGAGAATTTTCTTACTAATTTGTTAGATCTTCATCATTTTTAAGAACATTTAAACATTTCAACTGCTTTTTTTTAATTTTCAAAAGTCTAAAAAACTTAGTTCATGCTTGTATTCTATGTATGCAATGTATACTTCTTGTTCTCAAAAACAGAGAAGCCACGAGCAGGCTTCTGCATTTCAGAGACTGTTTTCATTGGGCATTGGAAGGAACGCTTGGATTCGTGGTTTGTGATAGATTTTGGAGGCGATAGATCAACAGCATGATGACTGCTCTAAAGTCTGCACTGAATGGAGTTGCGGCAGAGGGAGAATGTAGGGGTGAAGAAAGAAGGGGAGCTTAGCTGGGAAGGGTGATTGCTTCTTCTCCTATCCTGGGATTCGGGTAACAAGAAGCGGGGAGAATTGGGTGGCCAGACTACACATAGCATCGGTCGCACTGCCTTCTTCAGTCGATAGATCGGAGACAACCTCAGAGTTTCAGTTTCCCTTCCCTCACATAGGTTCTCCCAGTGGGAAGGGGTGGAAATAAAAGTATTGGATGACTCAGGGCCACACGAAGGTAGTGAAACCTTGCTATTCCCACCTGATGACCTAGAATGCACATGAAGTAACAGTAACACATTGCACCTAAGAGCTTTAGGAATTTTATTTTTAAAAGGATTTATTTATTTATTTGAAAGAGTTACACACAGAGAGAAGGAGAGGCAGAGAGAGAGAGAGAGAGAGAGAGAGGTCTTCCATCCGATGGTTCACTCCCCAGTTGGCCACAACATCTGGAGCTGGGCCAATTTGAAGCCAGGAGCCAGGAGCTTCTTCCAGGTCTCCCACACAGGTGCAGGGGCCCAAGGACTTGGACCATCTTCCACTGCTTTCCCAGGCCATAGCAGAAAGCTGGATTGGAAGTGGAGCAGCCAGGATTAGAACCAGTGCCCGGCTGGTGCCGCTGCACACTTGGCTAATCCTCCGCCTGTGGCGCTAGCACCCAGGGTTCTAGTCCAGGTTGGGGCACGAGATTCTGTCCCAGTTGCTCCTCTTCCAGTCCAGCTCTCTGCTGTGGCCCGGGAGTGCAGTGGAGGATGGCCCAGATCCTTGGGCCCTGCACCCGCGTGGGAGACCAGGAAGAAGCACCTGGCTTCTGGCTTCTGATTGGCTCAGCACGCCAGCTGTAGCGGCCATTTGGGGGGTGAACCAACGGAAAAGGAAGACCTTTCTCTCTGTCTGTCTCTCTCTCTCACTAACTCTGCCTGTCAAAAAACAAACAAACAAACAAACAAAAAAAAACAAAACAGCGCCTACATGGGATGCTGGCATTGTAGGCTGCGGCTTTACGGACTACACCACAGTGTTGGCCCCAGGAATTTTATTGAGAATAAGAGTAAGAGGTAACTCAACAGTTGCACCTGGATTGGTAAGATCACCTGAAAATCAGAATGTTTTAGTCATGTTAGCGTTATCAATGCTCACCCAGATGCTATTGCACTGCGTATCTCCTCTGGAACATAAAAGTAACATTGGGAGAAGATGACTAACTTTGAATTGACTAAATTTAAGTTTTTGTGACCAGGTAGAATGAAGTTCATAATGGGAATTAATTTATAAGCAAATAAACCTCCACCTTGGTAAACGTGGTTGGTGGACTGGCACTCATATCCCTTACGTGACTTAACTCTGTTACTCACAAACATCTCTTTATTGACTGTCTCCACCCCATCCTGGCACTCAGCCTTCTTCCTCTTCTGACTATAGATTAGTGAGCTTCATTGCCTCTATGTCTTCATCATCGTTGGAATCTCAGTGCCATTTCTCATCCCTCTCATCGTGTCATATGGCCAATAAATCCTAACAACCTTACTTCAGAAACTCATCCCGCATCTTCTCTTTGTTTTCAAACTTCACACGAGTGTTCCAGTCCGAGCTCACTGAAGTGGGATGATGTTACATTAACAGATGATGGAGATCATCTAGCTCAGGTTGGCTATTATCAAAAAGACAAATGTAACAGATGCTGATGAGGATATGGAGAAAAGGAAACTCTTAAGCATTGTTGGTGGGAATGTCAATTAGTACAGCTATCATGGAAAACAGCACGGATTTCCTCAATAAAGTGAAAACAGATCTATGGTATGATTGAGCTATCCTATCTCTGGAGATACATACATACATATACCTGATGTGTGTGTGTGCGTGTGTGCTTGTGTGTAATGACATCAGCATGCCAAAGAAATAGCTGCACTCTCATGTTTATTGTCACTCCATACACAACAGCTAAGACATGGAATCAGCCTAGAAGCTTATCAACAATTGAATAGACAACAAGAGGTAGTTTGTAATAGTCTCTTATATATCTTCTGAATAACTAGAAGAGAGGAAATCAAAGCCTTCAAAAATAAGGTAAGGGGGCTGGTGCTGTTGCGTAGTGGGTAAAGCCACCACCTGCAGTGCCGGCATCCCATATGGGCGCCAGTTTGAGTCCCGGCTGCTCCACTTCTGATTCAGCGCTCTGCTATCACCTGGGAAAGCAGTGGAAGATGGCACAAGTCCTTGAGCCCCTGCACCCATGTGGGAGACCCGGAAGAAGCTCCTGACTCCTGGCTTCAGATCAGCAGAGCTCCGGCCGTTGTGGTCATCTGGGGAGTGAACCAGCAGATGGAAGACCTCTCTCTCTCTCTGTTTGTGCAACTCTGACTTTCAAATAAATAAATAAATCTTTAAAAAAAAATAAGGTAAGGACAAGGACATGGAAACCTAATCACCCTGATTTGATCAACACATATTGTATACATGTATTGAATGATTACCCTGTACCTTGCAA